TTTTTTTTTTTACTCTTTTCTTTGATCAACATAAAGTACGTGTGTTGCAAGAGGTTAACTATAGGTTCGAGTGTGCCATGAGATAAAAGAGGTTGAAAAATACTGCTGCAGGTTTTTCAATATCTCTGCTGAAATTTCTTTCTTCTTCATTACTCCACCTGGCACCACTTCTGTAGTTTGTGATTCCCATAATCCCCATCCCGTCTCTTAGAACTCCAAGAACCTAGGTTGGGGGAATGGGTTTGTGGTTTCATCCTACCCAACCCTGTACTATTCCTTTTCTTCTCCCTGCCTACCTCCTTTACTTCTCAAGACTTGCTATTCTCCACACGTAGAAACTCGAAACCTAAGAGTATGAGAAAGCAATGGAGCAATAGCAGTGCTGCCAAGAACTGGGGATGCTGACAAGCTGTTCCCCAGGCCCTATATGCAGTGACCCAACTACATGCCGATTGGACTTAACTGCCCCATGGGACCTCACATGCTTGATATTCCTTTTTGCTTCCGCTCATTTTTTTCTCCGACTTAAAGCAACCTCCTTCCAAACTTGTGACCCATTCAAATACAACCCATTTTTGAAGCGCTAATCAGGCCCAAGTTCTTGGGGGAAGCCTCCCCTGACCATTTTAGTCCACAGTATCCTCTTTCTCACACACACAAACAGGTACTGTACTCACTGTCTGTTCCATAAAGCATAATCATATTCACATTTATATGACTAAATGTTTCACGTGTACATATATTTTTTAGGGGCAGGAACCCTGTCTTATGTTTTTCAAACCCTTTAAGCTCAGTGGGTTAATACTTGATGAACAACAGTGACTGAATCAGTGGGATTCTGTTTACGCTCAAGGAGAAGATAGAAGAATGCCGAAATGAAATAAGTTGAATGGATAGACGGGTGAAAAAGCAGGACTGGGTAAAGATGGAAAAAATGAAGAAGAAAGATGTTCGATTAACATCTGTTTAATTGATTCGGTCTGAGGTTTGAAAGAGACAATGAGAGACGTCAAATAGAGAAAGCAGGAAATTATTTACACTTAAGGCTGAAGCAAACAGGTGAAAGGTGAAGCTACAGAGAAATTCACTAAGTTCTGCTATAAACCTAAGGATAAGCCAACTGTTAGGGAAAGGAAGCTATTAGGATGACATGAATAGAGATGTGGTCAAGTAGATGAGCAAATCAGGAGGGGGTGGTATGACGGGGCGGGGGACAGAAAATAATCTAGAGTAGGTAGGTAGGTGGGTGGTTAGATATTTAATTGGGCAGGAATAGGTGTGGGGGTGTGTTAAGATCCGGCCCCTCCCTCACCTTGACCCGGAAGCGGATGAGTGCTAGCCTCACGCAGTGGCTCAGGCAGGCCGGTGGCAGGAACCAGGCCCGTGGTGGAGGGGTGCCCTTGTTGCCCACGTGTCCCACGATCAGTTGCGCTGTCTGCCGCTCGGCCTGGCACCGACGGCCCCACTCAGCCAGCCGGTCCTTGCCCAGGCCCCCGGGGAACATGACCACAAGCTCCAGGCCGTCGCCGCCAGGATAGGCACAGGCCTGGCACAGCGCTGACAAGTAGCCCAGCATGGCGTTCCATTGGCCGCCACAAACCCAATCCGTCTGGTAGCCGCCATACAGCCGCGGCAGCGCCGAGCCCGCATCCACCAACACCCGGGCGCCAGGCAGCGGAGGGGGCGGCGGCAGCGGCGGGTGCAGGCTGGTCTCCGTCTGGCCGTGGTGGTAGAAGTGGCGAACAGAGTGATGATGCCGAGTCGGTCCAGCACCCCCAGAACAGGCACCCAAGGCAGCGGGCGGGAGCGGCGGTTGCAGAGGTACAGAACTCCTGGCTGCGCGTGGAGCTCCAGGCTCTAGGGCAGCTGTAGGAGGCAACTGGCGGTGCAGGTGCTGCTGCTGCTGCTGCCGCGAGACCGTGCGCGCGAGTTTGAGGAGATCCACTGGCACCACGGCCCCAGGACAGCGCTTTTCCAGGAACTCTTGGAAGCCCTGGACACCCATGCTTCGTCGGGGGTAGACAAGACTGCTGCTGCCAGAGCAAGCTAGGCGGCTATCTGTGCACAAGGCTGGGGGCGGGCGCGTGCGCACTTCGCGGGGGGCGGGTGGGGGCGGGAAGAGGATCCCCGAGGGGAGGGGCGAGGGAGTGAGGAAATGAAGACCAAGAGGGGAGGAGACTACAAATTGGATTTGGGTGGAGAGGAGGGGTGAGGCAGACCATACAATGGAGAAGCTGGGAGGATAAAAGCGATGACGGGTACTTTTCTTTCCCCTCCCTGGCCTCTCTTTTACACCACTTCAGAAAGGATGAAAAGTCTTCCTTTCACCTCCGGGAGCCATGTTGCCCTGCTTTCTCTAAGGTACACACTTTCTAGCCGGAGTAAGGTGAATGGGGTAGGATGGCGGGGCATCCTGGGAGTTGTAGTCGTCTTCTCTTTAGCCTCAGGATGTAGTTGAGGAATAAGACTACCACCCCAGTCAGCCCTTGCGCCCACAGTGTCATAAGAGGTGGGGTGTGATGGTCAGTGTTTAGTATTTGCATTCCTACTCTTCACTTCTCGTTAAGTGGCCTCAGGCTATTTACTGACTTTTCCAGGAAAAGGTGTGGTTGGAGGGAGGGAGTGACACATCACGGGAAAGGAAGTAGAGTATTTTGATTGAATTCAAGTAAAGTGAGCTAAAATTCCCCAGAAGGAGCATTTTTCTCTCACTGGAAAAAATAATATGCATAGCTTTTAATAAATGAGAAGGAATACACATGAAACGTAAGAATAACCACTAACATTTCTATGGGAATCCACTTTTAGCTACTGTACTTATTTAAAGAGTTGTTGGCTCTACTGGGAATAGTGAAACTTACATTGTTTATTTGCCCAAGGCAATGCAGAAACAAAAAAAAATTGAATATCATTTGACCTCGGTATCTCTTTGATCTGGGAGATAAGTACTTATACACATTAAACTACAAGTTGTACCTTTTTGGTACTAGCTTATATACTTTGTCCAGTGGTTAGGGCCTTTGGTTTCCAAACCTCATTGTGAATTGTCTGTCCTGAGCTATTTTTTTTTTTTTTTTGAGACATAATCTCACTCTGTCATCCTGGGTAGAGTACAGTGGCATCATAGCTCACAGCAACCTCAAACTCTTTGGCTTGAGAGATTCCCTTGTCTCAGGCAACCAGTAGCTGGGACTACAAGCCCCTGCTAGCCACAACACCCAGCTAGTTTTTCTAATTTTAGTAGAGACTGAACTCCTGAGCTCAGGCTGATCCTGAACTCCTGAGCTCAGGCGATCCACCTGCCTCGGCCTCCCAGAATGCTAAGCTTACAGGTGTGAGCCACCATGGCTGGGAGCTTTTCAAAATAGTTGTGAGGTCATTTATTTCAGATGTACAGAATCATAATCTCTGAAAAGTCTATTTTTAGCATGCTCCTCAGATGAAACCAGTGTAGCACTTGTCTTCTTTATGGCTTTTAGGGACCACTCTTTCAGCAGAAATAGGGCTGAAAACAAGATCTGAAGTGAGCAGAATTCAAACCCCACATCTCCGGAATGTTGCAGGGCAGTTACTCCCAGAATGTTTTGGAGTGTGGACTTTCTACCCATGTAGCAGCCCCTCTGCAGTTATAAAAGACTCTGGGATATTTCTTCTAGGCTTTCCTGTAGGTCTTGGGACAAAATGTGGAGGAAGTGTAAGGAGGACCCCAAGTCTGATCCCAACGGCCAACAGGCTGGAATGTTGGTCTTTCTCTGACTCTGATGGGTCTGGACATGGATTAAGCAAAGAACAGAACTCTCCTTCCTTTTCCAGCAGATGGCCCACCCACTTTTTTTTACAGAAACCTAGCAGATGAACTTTGATCTGTCATGGCACACTGCCACCTACTGAGCTACACTTACGCCACATCCTAATTTTCTTAAAAAGAGGTCCCTTGCCTTAGCTTGGGGTCATTGCCATTTTCTTTTTTTGGTGGCAGCCCATCTGCTTACAAATGCTCTTAATACTTAATAAATCTCTGGGATTAATTCTACTTGGCATGGTTCGTTGTGGCACTTTTTCTCCTTTCGACATTTAACATAGTCAAATCAGGTTTTAAGGAAGTTGCATTGCTGCAGGAAGACGAGGCCCAATGGAGAGAAAGAACATCCAAACACTGTGTTTAAAAGAGGAAGGGCTTTATTCCAGCCGGTGGAGCTGCTGCAGACCTGAGTCCAAAATGGCCACATTCCCAGACTGACTTAGTCTTCTCCTTTTTATCTCCAGCAAAAAAGTTCTGGCCCACGGGTACCTTTCTCATTGATCAGTTTGAATCAAGCTGGAGATGCAGGCTGGGGCTTTTACAGAAGCAGAAGCAAGCGTTAGTTTCCAGGTCCCAGGAATTTAAGTTTCTACAAATTCCTAAGAGCTAAAATCACTACAGGGAGAACCTTGCAGGTGTATCCTTGGAGTCTCCTTAAGAAGACCTCTGTTCTCTTAGACCTCACTTTTTCCAGGTATCTTCTCTCAGTATCATTAGAAAATCTGGTGACTAGGGACTATAAATGATCATACAGTGCAATGATTTACAAAAGTATGTTCCTGGACCAGCCCATTCACATCACCTTCAAAGTGTTGGAAATTTAGGTTCTCAGCAGGGTGAAGTGGCTCACAGCTGTAATCCTAGTACTTGGAGAGGCCTATGTGGGTAGATTGCTTGAGCTTAGGAGTTTGAAACTAGCTTGAGCAAGAGTAGACCCCCATCTCTAATAAAATAGAAAAATTAGCTGCCATTGTGGTGGGTGCCTGTAGTCTCCCAGCTACTTGGAAAGCTGAGGCAAGAGGATTGCTTGAGCCCAAGAGTTTGAGGTTGCTGTGACCTATGATGTCACAGTACTTTAACAGGGCATCAGAGTGAAATGCTCAAAAAAAAAAAAAGGCCTGGTGGCTAACGCCTGTAATCCAAGTACTCTGGGAGGCTCAGGTGGGTGGATTGCTTGAGCTCATGAGTTCAAGACCAGCCTAAGCAAAAAGCAAGACCCCATCTCTACTAAAAACAGAAAAACTGAGGCAAGAAGATCGCTTGAGCCCAAGAGTTGGAGATTGCTGTGAGCTATGATGCCATGGCACTCTACCTAGGGTGACAGCTTGAGACTCTATTTCAAAAATAAATAAAATAAAGATTATGTGGGAGTATAATCTGAAAACATTATTAAAAAGAAAACAAGTTTAAGTTCTCAGGCCTTACTCTGGACCTCTAGGATGAGAAACTCCAGGTGTGGAGCCAGAAATTTGTGGTTTAAATCAGAGCAGTATCAAGGATAAAGCATTTAGTTAAAGCAAAGTGGTAAAGTCAGATTTTATTCAGTAATTACTGACAGTAGGGAAGAGATGAGCTTTTTTCTGATTAGTATAGAGGTGTCTGGGAATTTTAATTAAAGGAAAAATGAGGGAGTAGAGGAAGTAGGGCTTAGTAGTCTGGGAAGTGAAAAATTAGAGGGCTTGTCAGTATAAATATGATTAGACCAGCTGTCAATTACTGAAGATTTCTATTCTCCCGGGAACACACCTGTGTTTTATTCCAAAGGCTAGGTCTCCCCACCCCCTAAATTTCTCCCATAGAAACTGGGAGATAGAGGCCCTATCCTTTCCGATGATTGCATTTCAAAGGACTGGCTTTTAGGCTTTTGAGAAATATTCCAGAATTGTAGGAGATACATGCACATCTCAAAAGGACAGTGGAAAGATTCACAGTTCCAAGCCCTTTTGAATAGTTGCTCTAGGTAAAGGAGGACTGGGTCCTATCCTGGGGTGTTAGCTAGAACTAATTTAATTCTTTTGCGTGTGCAAAGCTTTTTCTGATAGGAATTCAAAAGTGGGCTGGTCTTCCCAGGGATTTGGGGCCTTAGGCTGCTAGGAGCTGTACTGAAGTTTGGTCAGGTCTCAGTGCTGGGATTTGAATGGAGTGTACCTGTCAAGTTATTGCAGGTCTCACTAGCTCTCTATGTGATTTTAACCAGCACTCACAAGTTTGAGAATCACTGTTCTAGAGTATACCCTAGGTCCAAGTCCAGACTAGTTAAGCAAGGAGGTATATCAGTAAATTGACTCCCATTAATTTATCTACGCCTGTAATTCCTTTCTTTTTTTTCCTATCCAGGTAGAAATAGACCTGGTGATTGATAATGATGTGACCTCTCCTTTCCAAAAGAAGAATTTTGATTGTGGTTATCTAATTATTTCTCTACTATTGCATATTATATCTATTGGTGGCAGCTAAGTTTATCAGAGTTTACAAGATCAAGAGAAGCCAACGGGTGTGTCCATACCACACCATTGCTTCTGAATGCAGTAAGTTGTCCTGCAGGTGTCCATGTCTGATGTTAGGTGTTTCTGGGGCAGCCAAGAGGAGGACTATAGGTAAAAATCTACTGGATTTTCTCTGCAGCACTCTTTTTCTACCACTTTCTCTACATTATATTCATGGTTGCAGCAAGAGCCATCCTTTATATATCTTCCCAGAGAATTTAGCTTTGAGCTGGAGGAGAGATGAAAAATCCTGACTGCATTCAAGCACCTGTTCCATTAGGCCCATCTACATTATCCTTGGGCTTTTTGAGGTATCCCTATCTTTGTAAGTTCCTTTTTATTTGCTTAAACTTGTTCAAATTGGGTTATTACTTAAAAACAAGATTCCTAACATACATAGTACAGGAGAAACTTTACACTGGATGTAGGCCATAAAGAAGAAAGATAAGACAGAGGCCAAAGCCCTGAAAGCAGAAGGGGATATAATAGATATCATAGAATAGTGTTCAGAGTATATGCTTTAGAGCCAATATCTGGGTTCCAATACTAGTTTGACTCCTTATTAGCTGTATAACTTTAATAAGATGCTTTAAATTCTTGCTGTACCTGTGAAATAGGGACTCATTAACTTATTTATTTAATATCCACTATAAAGCAAGAATAAAGCTGGGTATAGGAAGAAAACAGTTTTACAACAGTGAAAGAGCTTAGAAAGGAGATGGTAATGGTTATCTTTGAAGCTTGTGAAGATTAAATGACACTGTACAGCA